GGGGGTCGGCTACATCATCATTACCAAAGAAAATAACCCTAGTACTAAAAAGTTTTCCACACTACTTGCCTCAGTTCACCTGACTTAGACCAGTCTTCCGCACTGCCCTGCACCACCCGCCCATTTATTTTAACCCATTTATCAAACTTGCATTTCCTTCTTTGTTTGTTTGTTGTTCATTATTATATATATCATTATTATTTCTTTGTTATGACATATCACAACTTTATGGAATTAAATGAACTGATATTTATAAGTAGTGTCATACTGTCGGTTTGTTAAAATTGTGCGAGGCCCTACCCAAAGAATATTAGTATACTTGACATACTTGAATAAAGATATATGTGCATATTTATAAGTATACGTGCATATCAACCGGGCAAATAGATGTATATCTATCAGATATATAGACAGATATGCCTTTATTTCTGCGTCTGTATTTGTGAAAATTCATTGGGTCGGGCCTGGCACAATTTTAACAAACCGGCTGATAGTCTAGAGCTGCAGGAACAGACTTATGGGAAGAGCCTGTCACTGCACTGGGAAGATCCAGGGCAATCTTTCAGTTTTTTTATAAAATGATAAAGGGATATAATAGATGATTTTATTATATAGAACTATTTCATATATTATTTGTAATCCATAAAATAAAAATTACAATGTTGAAAAAAATTGCAATATTTCTATGCACCATATTGTTACACGTAGCAGACACATTTTCAGTCTGAAATAAACATAGTATGGCTCATTTCATAGCTGAATAGTAGATCTATTGAATGATCCAATTTCTTTATGCAGTTTTTTTTGTGCTTCTTGTAAATGTGACATATATAAGGAAGCCCCTTTTGTGGTGTTCTAAGAGTAGTCTATGTAAATATTCACAAAAAGGAAAAAAAAAAGTTGCAGTCGAAAACTGTGCTTCTGAATACAATAGATGAAAAATTATTGTTAAGAAATGAAATCAAAATGTCAGTCTGTGTCTGTTTTTTGGGGGGGGAGGGGGCCCCCGGTTTTAGAGAAATTTTCAAAGATAGTCAATTTATGTCAGTTAGACTCTATCATAAGGAAAAGGAGTCGTTTGTGACATTGTAACATGCTGGGAATTTCTGCAAGACTTGAATACGGGTAGTACCCAAAAAAAAAGGACGAAAAGGGTGGGTGGGTGTTTTGGGGGGATGGGTGTATATTTTGTTTGTTTTTCTTATAAATAAGAGATTTTTCTTTGTTTCAGCAGAAATTGGGGTATTCTTTATCAAAGGACCAAATAGTTGTATTTCAAGGAAAACATAATTGAAAATGTGTTTTTTGTAATTTAGATATTGAATTATCACCCGAGTCTTCATCCTTTCATATGTGCTCTGCCATTTGCTGCATATCTAAAAAGAATATTCTTCCATATCCTAGCAAGGACTGTAAGGAAATATTATCGTCCTTGGAGCCTGCAGTCTTTGAGGTGTGGCTGTAAAGGCTTAATCTGCTTCCAAAAGCTTTACGTACTCATGTCAAGACATCCATGTCACCCACCTTTCAGCAACAAATTCTCATGATAACTCATTTCCATCATCAAAACTCAAAACCTGATTTCTTCTTGAGAACACATTCACATCACCCATCACTCAGCAAAAAAAATTCACAACAAGATATCTCCACCACCTAGATCCAACAGGTTAATGACATTATAATAATCGTAATGATAGTGGTGCTGATAACAGTACTGATATTAATAGTATTAGAAAATAACATTTTCCAAAATTTCAAGAAATGAGGAAATCAGGTGAAGTCCCTAACTAAATGAATCCTTGTTGGCTGATAAATCTATGTGTAAACATGATTCACAAAATAAAACCATAGTTGATGATGAATATACCTAGTGGCAGTGTGTTAAGCACATGCACTAAATAACTTCCTTTATTAGTTTGAAATTTCATAATTTTATCTTTTCCACACAGCAAGCTTGTCACATACAACCGTTTTGGGGGACCTGGAAAAAGCATGGCAATTGGAACCAGAGAATGTGAAGTTTCAAATGCGTTTTAAGGAATTCAAAGATGTTTATGCAGGTAAAACTGAATTTTGAGAGGAAGATGAATGTGCAGGCCATCAGAAGTTTTGTTTAATCATTTCTGTGAAGAGATTAAGCATTCCCACCATCATGTTGTTTCTGTTTTCTAAATTACAGTATAATTTTCATTATTCCTTTCAAATAGACATGTACTGATTATTACAGAACAAAAATTATTTTATGATATTCGAATTTATTTTATCATTTTATACCTAGCCACATTCTGGCAACAGTAGTCTTTCCTCCTTCCCCCCCCCCCCCCCTCTCTCTCTCTCTCTCTCTCTCTCTCTCTCTCTCTCTCTCTCTCTCTCTCTCTCTCTCTCTCTCTCTCTCTCTCTCTCTCTCTCTCTCTCTCTCTCTCTCCCTCCCTCCCTCCCTCCCTCCCTCCTCCCTCCCTGCTCCCTCCCTCTCCTCCTCTCCTCTCCCTCCCTCCTCCCT